GTTTTTTTTTTTTTTTTTTTTACATCTTTATTGGAGTATAATTGCTTTACAATGGTGTGTTAGTTTCTGCTTTATAACAAAGTGAATCAGTTATACATATACATGTTCCCATATCGCTTCCCTCTTGCGTCTCCCTCCTTCCCACCCTCCCTATCCCACCCCTCCAGGTGGTCACAAAGCACCGAGCTGATCTCCCATTCTCAGGGTTTTTTCCATGTCCATGTACCAACTTTCTTAGTCTTTACCAAACATTTTTATTTAAATTGACTTTAAATCCATTCAGTTTTGCTTTTGGTTTGTGTTAATATCCATGAAATCAGTTAATATCCATGAAATCACAGGTTTGGTGCACTGGTCAGTATTTTCTAATACACACCAAAATATTAAACCATTAAAAACTGTTCACCACATACCATTTCAGATCATTTCATGTGGATGGGGAAGTACTTTATTAGGTATGATGTGCCTTTTAAGTATCAACATTCAGGGAGGCAGCAGCAGAAGAGCAGTGTGCTGACACTGTGCGTTTCTCTTCCCTGTGCTTTAGGTGCCGACATGGGCCTCTGGGGAAGTGCGTGCACTGCGTTCCTCTAGAGGTGAGAGTCCGAGTAGAGTGAGTTCCCAGAGCTGTCTTGACACTTCTCCTAAGTCCCTGGGCTGGGTCAGAGTGGTTCAAGGAAGTTACCTATTTATTGCCCTGGGCCTCGTATTCCCACTAGTGCAGGCTGCACTGAGAGGATGAGCCGGACGAGCTGGACGAGCCTTTATTTATGGGAGTGACCTTCTGGGTGGATTATGAACGGCTGGGACATGGGTATTGCTGTGATAAAGGGGCAGCATTTACACTTGACTCCCTGGACAGTCCTTTTAAAACCTGACACAAAGCTGGGCCTGGCGGTTTTCATGCTCATCATTGTTTTGATTTACTCTACCCTGAATCTCACGTCTCCACTACTGATTTGTCGTGGTGAGGTTGAGAGTTACCACAATAATGCCGACTGGTGACTGGTTAACACTGAGTTTACGGCAGGAAGGCCAACCTGATTTTCTTCATGAGGCTCCTCTTGCTTCATCGTGTGGCTTTTTTTTTGCAAAATTTACCTGATATTTATTTGACTTAGAGCATTTTGTGTTTAATAGAGATTCATTTCAATCTTGAAAAGATAACTGGTACACAGAGAAGAACTTGGTTCTGACTTAGAACGATAGTGAGGACCCATCACCAGTTCTCCCTCACTGCCTGCCCACCCGCCTCGGGGTTTGGCGGGTGGAGGCTGTGACCGCGACCGCGACCCCAGCGGCGAATGCATGACTGTGTTGACTGTGTGTTTTGGCAGCCTTTCGACGAGGACTACCTAAATCACCTGGAGCCTCCCGTGAAGCACATGTCCTTCCACGCCTACATCCGGAAGCTGACCGGAGGGGCTGACAAGTAAGCGGCCTGAGGGCAGGGGGCGGCACCCATTGGCTTTGGGGTACAGAGTTCATTTTTTGTCTCTGGCGCGTGTTGCTTAAAGCCCCTGGGCATATGAGTGAGAAAAGTAAAGATCAAAGTCTGGGCATGAAGTGTTTGTATTCGTGAATCTTGTCCTGATTCTAAAAGAGAAACAAGTGGGGGGAGACTGGTGCCTGCTGTAATCCACAGTGCCCAGTGCATGGGCAGAGGCCAGGCTGTGGAGGCCCAGGGGCACCCCGCTGACCTTCCTTCGGGTATGCGGTACCCTGGCAACTTAGTTGTTTCTGAACCTGGATGAGACAAGGCGTGATGGTGGCCAGTCCTGTGTCTGTGGAGTCTGCCCTTTTCCCGGAAGCTGCCTCTTTATCAACTCAATTTCACAGCTGGAGCGGGGCTGAGGCAGTGGCGCTGTCCATGGCTTGGCCTCTGGTGCCTCAGCATTGCTGTCTGCAGGCTCGGCCAGGCGGGCAGCGTGGGTGGGGTTGGGCAGTGGGGGCAGCTGTCCCTTGGCTCTTAGAGAGCATGCTGTGACAGTGGCAAGCTGAGAGCAGTTTGATTTCTTTTAAACTACGTCAGGTACTTGCCTGTGCAACCCCCTTCTGTTGATATGCTCACCTCACCAGAAAGTAATGGAATTCTTCCTGTGATTTTATGATTCCTATCCATGCAGGGAGAGGAGACGGTGGCTAAACCCGAGTCAGCAACATTTTGTAAAGAATGTCATGTTGGCCCGCTCGTAGTTTTTCTCTGGCAACCCGCTAACATCCTAAAATGACTTTTAAAAAAAGTTAGACCAGGAAAAAAGAAGATCCCACCAGAAGCCCATTTTTGCCCATTTGTGGGGTAAGCTCTGGAGCTGTCTTGACCAGAGCATGAGTGTGCTGGGACCTGTCTGCCTTTTGTCTGTCTAGGTCAAGGGCTCACTTGTTGCTGTTGTTAACATGCAGCCTAGGTGGCAATCATTGCTTCCCAGGTGCCATCGTTCCAGCATGCCACTGGCTTGTGAGGACAGGACTGATCACTGGACCATTTGTGAATGGGAAAGTGGCAGAAGGTGAAGTCACTTGTGCAGGCTCACCCCAAGTCCACAGTAGGGCCCAGGACATCCTCACTGACCAAAAGCAGAATGAAGATATCTTTGTTATGTATCCTAATGAGGTTTTTTCTATGAATAAGAATTTTATACAGAAGTCTAAGTACTAGACTCATAAAGTAAATGTTTCTGATAAATTGATGGAACTTAAAAAGAATTTCATTTTCTGTCAGTGGCATAGGTTAGATCGAGATATTTAGCAGTACTATTGAAAATCTTATGTGGTAAATATATACAATGGAATATTACTCAGCCATAGAAAGGAACCGAATGGGGTCATTTGTAGAGATGTGGATGGACCTTAGAGTGTCATACAGAGTGAAGTAAGCCAGAAAGAGAAGAACAAATATCATATATTAACGCATATATGTGGAATCTAGAAAAATGGTACAGATGAACCTATTTGCAGGGCAGGAATAGAGACGTAGACATAGAGAACAGACATGTGGACACGGGGGGACGGGGAGTGTGGGACAAATTGGGAGATTAGTTTTGACATAAATACACTACCACGTGTAAAATAGATAGCTGGTGGGAACCTGCCGTATAGCACAGGGAGCTCAGCTCAGTTCTCTGTGACGACCTAGATGGGTGGAATGGGGGTGTGGGAGGGAGGTCCAAGAGGGAGGGTATATAGGTATACATATACATATATCTGTAGTATATATGTGTATACATATATACGTATATATACATATGTACATTCACTTTATTGTACAGCAGAAACTAACACAACATTGTACAGCAAATACAATTTAAAAAAAAAGAAAAAGGAAAAACACATCTTCATAGATGTTAGTGGTAGTGAAAATTAAAACCGTTTTTATCGGAAAATAGTTCTGTATTCTTGTACAGTCTAGTGTGCAGGACAGAAGCTACAACTCCATTAGAATAAGTTTTAGCACATTTTCCCTGCTGTGGATACCACGTGCTTAGCTCCTGAGAACTCCCTTCAGGAAGTGTAAGATACCTGACATTTTATTTCCAGCCTCCTCCTACACTTTTGACCATTGTAATGTTTAATTAATTAAGTTTCCTTTTCTTTTTCAGGGGGAAATTTGTTGCCCTGGAGAATATCAGTTGCAAGATTAAATCAGGGTGTGAGGGACACCTTCCATGGCCTAATGGCATCTGTACTAAGTGCCAGCCAAGTGCCATCACGCTGAATAGACAGGTGAGATGTTCGCTGTATCCATCTAGACGCAGAAAGCAATAGATTTGTGTTCATGGCTGAGGAGTGAAAATGTCTGGAAAAGCCCCTCCTTGGAAAGGAGCTGCTGGTAGCAGTATGAGTTACATGGGGCAGTCTCGGGTATTTTGGCGCTGATTAATTGACCCTTTTATGGAAATCATACACTGAGGACATTATTTGTAAGATCTCTAGCTCTTTCAAGCATAGAGGGGAGCCTTCAGTTTTCTGTTTTGTTGGCTTGTGTGGAGGCAAATTTTCTTGGTGACTGTTTAAAATGCTCAGTGGTTGTGACTTTACCTTTCAAGAAACTGTGGCTCTGGAAGTTGGTAGTTGAACAGAACTGCCCTGGGACCAGCTCAGGGCATCTGTCCAGGCCAGGTTAAGAAGGGAGCTGGGCTCAGGAAGGAGCGAAAAAAGAATCAGGGAAAACTGTGTGCAGTTATTCTGGCTTTTCCCACTCTTATTGTCCAGCCCTCCAAAAATAGCCCTCCTCATCTTTCCCCTGCCACTGCCAGCCCATGTTTAGCTCCTTAGACTTCCACCCCTCCTTAACTGTTTGAGAACCTTTCTTCCCTTTCTTTCTCTCCTTCTCTCCATCCATCCCTCCCTCCCTCCCATTCTCTTCTTTCCTTCCTTCCTTCCTTTCTGTTTATTTTGGCTGCATTGGGTCTTCGTTGCTGTGCATGGGCTTTCTCTAGTTGCGGCGAGTGGGGGCTACTCTTCGTTGCCGTATGTGGGCTTCTCATTGCGGTTGCTTCTCTTGTTGCAGAGCATGGGCTCTAGGCATGCAGGCTTCAGTAGTTGTGGTCCTTGGGCTCTAGGGTGCGTGGGCTCAGTAGCTGTGGCGCACGGGCTTAGTTGCTCCATGGCATGTGGGATCTTCCTGGACCAGAGATTGAACCCCTGTCCCCTGCATTGGCAGGTGGATTCTTAACCACTACACCATCAGGGAACTCCCCTCCATTTTTTAAAATTTTGTTTTTATTTTTCTTGGCCGCGCTGCACGGCATGCAGGATCTCAGTTCCCCAACTAGGGATCGAACCCTCGCTCTCTGCAGTGGAAACGCAGTCTTAACCGCTGGACCGCCAGGGAATTCCCCTTCTCTCTTTCTTTCTGTCTTAATTTCTTTTTGAAAACTTTTTTTGACCTAGAGATTGTGAAAACCTGCATTTTAGGCAAAATCCCAGTAAGATTAATTTGAATTAATTTAATGAGAGTCCCACCCCTACCCCTCCCACCCACTAGAATCTGAAGTGGTCTTAAGGGCATAGCACATTCTTTTTTTTTTTTTTTTTTTTTTTTTGAGTTTTGCTAGAGGTTTAACTTTATTACTCTTCTCAAAGAACCAACTTTTGGCTGTGTTAACTCTATGATTTACCTGTTTTCAGTATCACTGATTTTTGCTCTTACTTTTAATATTTCTTTCTTCTACTTACTTTGAATTTATTTATTTATTTAATTTTGGCTGCGTCGGGTCTTCATTGCTGTGCGCAGGCTTTCTCTCGTTGCAGAGACTGGGGGCTACTCTTCATTGTGGTGCGCAGGCTTCTCATTGTGGTGGCTTCTCTTGTTGTGGAGCATGGGCTCTAGGCACGTAGGCTTCAGTAGTTGTGGTGCACAGGCTTAAGTTGGTCCACGGCCTGTGGGATCTTCCCCGACCAGGGCTCGAAGCCACGTCCCCTGCATTGGCAGGCGGATTCTTAACCATTGTGCCATCAGGGAAGCCCCCGAGAGTACATTCTTAAAGTGTGTGTGTGTGTATGTGTGTTTTAAAAAGCTAGGTAAAAGATACTTGTGAACAGTTTGTGATAAAATAGTAAATTATTTATTTTTGATGTAGTGTTTTAATTTAGCCCATTGTTGTTAACTCTACAGAAATACAGACATGTGGACAACATCATGTTTGAGAATCATACAGTTGCTGACCGCTTCCTTGACTTCTGGAGGAAGACAGGGAACCAGCACTTCGGGTACTTGTATGGACGGTACACGGAGCACAAAGACATTCCTCTTGGTATCAGGGCTGAAGTGGCTGCGATTTATGAACCTCCTCAGGTAGATGTGAACAGGATTTGCAGTCTACGGGTCTCTGTATTGCTTTGTTTTGAAGGCTCTATGGGAGCCCTTTTCAGGTTGCATGCTGCTTCTCTTACTGTATCATTTGGCCAGTCTATCTCTCTCTCTATACACACACACACAGTATTTATTTTCTGAATTATTGGAGAGTAAGATCATGGCCCCTAAATATTTCAGTGTATATTTCCAAAGAATAAGGACACGTTCTCATATAACAAGTACATTGAGCAACCTAAGTAAATTGAACTTCGATACAATATTTTAATCTAATCTGCCATCTTATTCAACTTTTGTCAGTTCCCCCAAAAGTGTCGTACAGTTGCCCTTTCTTCTGCTTCTGTATCTCCTCTGCCCATGCCTACAATCAGCTGTCCCAGGATTTATGGAATTAGAGTCACAAAATTACTCAAGTTCTTTATCTTATGCCACACATGTAACTTTCTTAATAACAATATCAAAATTACCACCAGTGTAGGACTGAAAACAGTTCAAGATTGTTTTGGTGGGAGGGGAGGACCCCTAGGGTATATCCCACTAGGGACCAGCAGTTGGTTACTGTGTTTTAAAGTCACTTGGAAGATCTTCCCTGTATGATTACATCACCAACGAGTTACACATTTATGTTCATTTGCTTTATTTTCAGTATTTAGGGATTGGTTTTACGTATATATATTTTATTTTTTATTTATTTATTAAATAGATTTATTTATTTATTTATTTATGGCTGCGTTGGGTCTTCGTTGCTGCCCGCGGGCTTTCTCTAGTTGCGGCGAGTGGGGGCTGCTCTTCGTTGCAATGCGCGGGCTTCTTATTGCGGTGGCCTCTCGTTGCAGAGCACAGGCTCTAGGCGCGCGGGCTTTAGTAGTTGTGGTGCGTGGGCTCAGTAGTTGTGGCTCGTGTGCTCTAGAGCACAGGCTAAGGAGTTGTGGCACACGGGTTTAGTTGCTCCGTGGCATGTGTGATCTTCCTGCACCAGGGCTCAAACCCGTGTCCCCTGCATTGGCAGGTGGATTCTTAACCACTGTGCCACCAGGGAAGCCCGTATAAATTTTTTAATTTGTATAATTACGTAAAATGTTTATATGGTTGTATAGTATATATTATATAAAATATTTATTTTGTCTTATTGTATATAAGTTTACTACAGAAGTGAAGATTGGAACCGTATTGCATCCTGGTTTATGATGTGCTGAGGTAGTTGGGGGAGGGTCTTGTGCCTGCAGGTGACTGTGATGTAAAAACACAAAAGCATGGTGCACTGAGGCATGGCCAGAGGGGTGAATGGAACATAGTAAATGTTAGTGGCTGAATTAGGTGGTGGGATATCAGTGTTCACTGTAAATTCTATAACCTTTGATGTATGTCTGAAATTTTTTATTTAAAAAAATGTTGGAAAAGTAAAAAAAAATTGCACATTTGCAAAGTGAGATCTACAAACAACGTCTTCCCCTTCATCTAATTTCCTCCCTCTCCTACAGGTAGCCCCCACTTTAAGCAGTTTTTGGCTTAGATCTCTAAAGTTTGATTTTTTTAGTATAAGTAGATACACAGATATTTCACACTATCCCCTCCTTTGTCTCTGGGTGGGCACCACGCCATATACAAGTGTGTCACCTGTGCCATGTTCTGGAGTTCTCACCGTGACTGGTCTACTTTTTAAATAAACCAGGGTCTGAAACTGCAGGCCTTGTGGCCACTGGCTGGTGTGCAGGTGTGTGGCTCCTGCACAGATGCCGTTTCTTCCCTGGCTGTATTTATACAGATTGTGTGTCGTCTACTCCCTTGGATATTCTCATTATTTACTGAGAGCTACAGATGAAATGTTTGACCAAGCCTTTTGTGATGGTTCACTTCCAGGGAGACATGAGATGGCAGTAGATGCTCACCCAGAGACCCTGCTTGTCTGACTCTTTGGGCACCAAGTGTGCTCTGTCAGCGGGAGCTGCTTTTGGAAGCACAAGACGTTCCAATTCAGTTTTGAGGAGGGTCCTTTCGTGAAGCATTTCAACAGTTCTGTTAAGAGTATGATTGAACAAAAATCGGAACAGAAGCCTCTGTTGTCCAGACTACTAACAACATCATCAGAGCTCCCAAATTGGGGATCTTGGAGGTTGAAGCACTTGACCTCTAATAACCTCCAGCTCATTAGAAGTTGAAGCTCATGCTGCCACATGTCATGAAACAAAATCCTTAGGTTTGTTCTGAGTTTGTGCTTTGACCTGTGCTCTGGAGGTATTAATGATCTCCATATGGGTCATACCCAGCAACATAAAGTTCTTTTGTTGTTTTGCCAGGATTTGACTAATTTACAAGGATATACCCAATTAGTATAACTCAATTTGGAATTACCTTCACTTTCATATTCTGTAGCCGGGTCTTCTGCTCAGTATGATGCTTAGCTTTATGAGCTGCATTTCAGTGCAGATTAAAGATTTCAGCAAGCTTTGTCCACTGCAGGAAGTGGGATCCTGTGGCTGGTGTAGGTTGCATGTGAGCCAGCCCAAGCCCCCCGCCACTGCCCCAAGCTGAGGGCTCTGCCCACCAGTCAGCAGGTTACTGATTTCAGGTGCCCTATCCTTGGCTTAGGGTGTGTGTATCTGTTGTACTCTCTCACTCTGCCTTGCCTGTGAAGCTAAGCACTGTCCCTGCAGGAGCTGCATACGAATTTTCCAAGGCTGTTTTTTGGGAACGAACGTTACCTTACAGCTCTAATTTTACCTAATCTAGCCAAGCCTATTTGGAGTGAAAACTATTTATCCAAGGGAGTTTTGAAACTAACTTCTGTCCCCAGTGAAGGAACCTTAAGGTGTAGAGAGCCTTCCCTAGTCCTAAACAACCACGTTTCATGTGGAGCTGCTAACATGAACCAGCCTGAATACAGCCTCTTCATGTTCTCTAAATCTTGATTAAAAGCAAAGCACAGCCCTAGAAGGGAAGAGCCTGGAGGGCTTGGCCTGTGTTATCTGGTTGAGCTTTTCCTGCTGCTTTAACTCTCCTTTTTGGTAAGGGGGAGACCGGTGCTCCTTTGTGATACCTGAGCCAGAAATGGAACAGAGCTGCTGTGCTGCTTTTCTGAACCCCTCTTCTAAATGCATCTCTCTTTAATACCCCCACAGATTGGTACACAGAATAGCTTGGAGCTTCTTGAAGACCCAAAGGCTGAGGTGGTTGATGAAATTGCTGCCAAACTTGGCCTGAGGAAGGTACTGAAGTATTCTCTTGGCCTTGAGGGGGGGCGCCCCGGCTCTGTGTTGGGGACATCTAGGTGGGTGGTATGCTGGTCTGGGACTGAACTCCCAACTGCACAAGGTCAGGTGCAGGCCTGGCACGTTTTGAAACCTCGCCTGTGTTTATTGGGCGCCCAAAAAAGGATCCCAGTGCAGGGACTGTAATATTTAAATCCGCCAGACATACTTCTGAAGGATTGCCTCAAAGTGGGGGAGGAAAGAAGCAGCAGGAGCAAGACCCCTACTTCCTGCTGGAGGCGACCTTGATGCCAGGCTCTTAAGGCACGTCCTCCTAGGTGTGAGCTCTCCCTTCACGTGTCTGTTTGCGCTTATCGTTTTCTGTCCCCCACACTTGGAGTTTCTCGTGGTCCCTCTTCAATCCTCATTGAACCTCCTGTTTATAATTGAGGCATCTGAGCCTGTAAGCCGCCTTAGTTTTCCTGGGCAGTTAGAAGACAGAGAAGAATTTTCTTTTTGAGTCTGATGATCTAGTTTGTCTCACATCTTTGGTTAAGTTCCTGGGAACTATAAAGATGGCGTTTTATAGATAATGTTGAACTGTGAATTTGAACACATCTTAGGAATTCACTCTTAATAGCTATGTAAGTTTTATCCTTTATTTCCTAATCAATTTAGACAATGAGAAATAAACTCCCTACAGATAAACAGGGAAGACTGGAAATGTGCCTTATAACCCAGGAATGCTGCAGAACAAAGTCACTGTATCGTTTTAAGAACAAAAAAGTCCTGTTGTTTCTAACAAGGAGTCAGCATCATGATTTAGGGGCATATTTTGGTTTAAATTCTGGAATTTTCTCTTGTTCAAAAGAGAAATCAGTGTAATTTTTTTTGCCTATGTTTGTTATAAATGTTTGGTCATGATAGTCATAATTAGAAGAACTTGAAGTTACTTAAATGCCTTTCTCCAAACACTGGTTCCTTAGCCTTAATTTATCTCAGCTTGATTTTGGTTCTGCTTTATTTACTGCTGAGTTACATTTATCCTTTAAGTCTCATTTTCTACATTGCCATCCTCCTCGGGGGTTTTGTTCATTTGGGCATTTTTAAAGAAAATGAAAGTCTCCAGATTTGCCTGGTCGTGTCTGCAGGAGATGGAATTGAAGAGTTTCATGTCAGGGTTGTGCTAGAGAGGGTCACAAGCACCAGATCACTTCTCTGAAGGACAGAAGTGGGTGTGTGCCTGGATTCCAGCCCTGCTCTTAGACCTCCCAGCCAGGTTTTGGTTCAGGAATGGTAATCAGGTGTGAGGTTCGTGGGCACAGGAAGGCCAGGGATCACAGAGCACATACAGGCACTGTTGCTGTAGCAGGACGTGTCAGGGAGGCCGACCCTGCCCCAAGCCCTGGGACTGGTGTTTCAGATCCCTGTACCCTCAGATGCTTCCCTTAGCCCCACACCGGAGCTCAGAGGAGCAGCTGTGCGAAGTCTCTATTCCATCATTCTTTTTTATTTTACATGCATACTCTGGGGAGTATGTTTTCCTGTCTTACGGAGAAAGCCCTAGTATCTGAAGTGGCATTGTCTTTATTTGCTTGCTCGTTTTCTGTCTTCCTCTCTGGAGTGTAAATTCCCTTTTCACTGACGTTCTGTTAATTTTATGTACCCGGGGGTCCCCTGCACCTAGCATAGTGCAGGGCACAGAGGTGGTGCTGAGAAGACTTTTTCTAACGAATAAATGAGATGTGCTCGTTTGCCCTCATCTCCACCCGGCAGCACCAGGGGGAGGACGACCAGTGTCAGCCGAGTAGAGTTTGAGAGCCCTGGTGTGGACAGTGGCTTAGCTGAGGAGCTGACTCACCTAGAAAGAAAGAACTGGCTTCCAGGAGTCTCTTCTCTTGGCAGAAGCTAGAAGACATTCGTCACCTGTTTCAGGGAGAGACTCAGAAGGTATTCTTCTCTTTTATGCAGGTTGGCTGGATATTTACAGACCTTGTCTCGGAAGATACCCGAAAGGGTACAGTTCGATATAGTCGAAATAAGGTGAGATGGGGCAGGGATGCTCGCTCGGCCAGAGCTTGTTATGGACCAGCTCTGGGCTGCACTCTCCGGTGTCTCTGCACAGCTCACCCTGGCTTTTAGACCATGTTATTTTCAACACAGTGTTCTTGATAAATTAAGGCTGGGTCTGTTCATTCTGTCTCGGAGATCAGAGAGACTTCACCTTTATAAACCACTGCTTTTTGGAGGTCAGCCCATGAGGTGGATTGCCTGTGCTTGTGGCGTTACTGGTTACACGTGTTTTTCTGTGAGGAGTTGGTAACAGTCAGGAATTATAGGTACTTGCTTCACCGTAGTTTGTGATGTGTCATAGTTTAGTTCTTAATATTTTCTAAAGAAGAAGCATATTTTGGCATGATGCTATAAAACTTGGTATGCTGGTTCTCTTTTCTTAGGACACCTATTTCCTGAGTTCAGAAGAATGTATCACTGCAGGAGACTTTCAAAATAAGCATCCCAACATATGTCGACTCTCTCCAGATGGACATTTTGGATCCAAGTTTGTTACTGCAGTGGCTACAGGTATAAATGGGGGCATTTATATTGTAAATATTACTACCTTGTTAATATGTTTTGTTCCTTTTTCAGTAGCTTTGCATTCTTAACTTAGTTACAATAGATTTTCTTTCTTTCCTTCTTTTTTTTTTTTTTTTCTTGGCTGCATCGTGCAGCATGTGGGATCTTAGTTCCCTGACTGGGGATCGAACCCGTGCCTCCTGCAGTGGAAGTGTGGAGTCTTAACCACGGGACCACCAGGGAAGTCCCTACAATAGATTTTCTTAATGGGCCTGTGAGACATAAGATTCTTCTTTTTTGGTTTGCGGCAAAAATCTTGAACTACCCAGCATCACACAAAACTACTGGAATTGCGGCCTCAGTGTAGCCCTCCTCTAGTCCATTCTCTTGGCCTCAGTCCAAGTTCACTTGGTTCTGGATCTGAGTTCTGGGCTATCTTTGCCCCTTTCCAGTAACCAAGGATGACTCTGTCTAGCTGTGCAGGAGAAGAGGGATTTACTGTTTCTGTTACTTTTTTATTTATGAGTGGGAGTGTCATTTTAAGAAACCATTTCCATAAAGCTTTTTTTTGGGAGTGATGAGTGTTTGTGTGTGAGATGTTGTGCACATCATACTACATGTTATGTACATCATGAATATACAATAATAAAAGACTGTGGCCTGTAAAAAAGTGCCACCAAATCTTTTATAACATACTTGAGATGCTGTCCTAGAGAAAAGCCAGGCATAAGACCATATGATTTAAAAGAAGTAGGAATTTGAAACTTGGAGAACCAACTAATAAAAACAATCTCTTTGGTCGGTTTTTTAAAGTAAACACTAACCTCTATCCTGTGAAGACTTGGGTTCTACCATCACAGAGATGATAGTCCAGTTTGTTCATGGTAACCATGCTTCCTCTAGTTCAAAATACCAGTTTACAAACAGCCCAAACATGTAAGTAACTAGATCCCTTATTAACCCCAGCTGAGCCTGTTACCACTGCCATGGGAAGGAAAACATCTGTCATACTGTCTGAATTTTTAAGATCCATTTGATTTGAGATCCATTTAGAGTGACCAGCACCTTCTTTTTGAAATGAATATACTTTGGAGGCATGAGAGGCCATGGCTGCATTGTTCACATGTTAGCATAAATTAATGGGGTCAAATGCTTAAGGAAGTGGATGGGAGTTTGGACTGGGATTTCTGGAAGCAGTAATTCCGTAGCATAGAGTCCTTCCACGGGGGCAGATGGGGCAGGGGCCTGTTGTAAAGAGAGCGCTCAGGGTAGCAGGAGCCAAGGAGGAGAGCAGAGAAGAGACACGTTTTACATGATCAGAATTTCGCCAAGCCAGCGTTCTGTTTGATGAAGGGGAGGAAAGTATTCTCTTTCTACTCCCTGCATCACATAAACCCCTGCCCCCTTCATTTAGGCTGAGATTCTGGGTCCAGGCATTTAGGCTGGTGGTTCTCAAGCCTATCAGACTGGACACCCTCTCTTTAGAACATTTGTGACACCTCTTTACTATCCAGAAAGTAAAATTCATAGATAATATACCTGCCCACACACCTGATTCTAAAAAAGAAAGCAGAGTAGTAGGCTGACTGTAACATTAAGGAGAAATAATAGCGAAGGAGCATGCATGTAATAAGACAGTGCATTCTGTGTGCCAGTGCTTGGGGACTGGTGCCTGCTGAGGAGAGCACGGGAGGAGCCGGAGCTGCCAACCTTGTGGGGCGGGGCCCGCACAGGCATCAACGACGTGGTTCCCAGACACTCAGCAGCTCTCCACGGAGCTCTGAGCCAAGCAGGGCCCTTCCTCAGCTTATGTGGTATCATGCTTCTAGAGGATTCGCTGTGTGTTAAAGCTGGGCGTGTTTGTTTCTGTGGCTGTGTATAAAATACAATTGATTCTAGTCCTAGATCATCACAAACAGGGGTTTTGCCTACAGGAGTGTTAGGGGGACATTTCAAGGCCATGTGGGATGTGGAACAGTTCTTTATTGTGTGGGACTCCCTGGACACAGCAGGACGTCTGGTACCTTTGACTCTAGCCTGCTGAAACTGGCAGCCCCTGCCCCCCGCTGCCCCACTTCGTTGAGACAACCAAAAATCATCTCCACAGATTTCCAGAACTGCTCCTTGTGAGAACTGCTGTTATAGGCTTCCGTGGGCTCCCATGGTAACCTAACCCCTTTAATTACTGTTTCTATGGGGAATTATTCAGTGGGCCCAAAGAACTGGTACATGTTTCATATTATAAATAGTTTCCAACTTGGGGGCTGCCTGTACTTTCAGTTATTGACTCATACCTCTTGTTGGGAATTTGGAAATTATAGATTGTCCTTGGAATTTTTGCCTCCAAAATTGGCACTTTACTAGGGTTTTCGAACTATAAGGCAGAAAATCACTTATAATAAGATCTGCAGTTAGAGTCCTTTCACATCTGTGCTGATTTGTCCCTCTTGGTAATGCTGTGAGATGCTCAGACTCATAATTCCTCTCCCTTTCCCAGGGGGCAGCTATGGAAGGTGGTTATCCAAAGTGTCAGAGATCTTCTGACTACAGACAGGTTATTCCCTTCCTCCGCATCAGTGGTTCTTGACGAGGGACGTGTTGGTACCTTGGGGAGCTGTCTGAAATGCCGTTGCCGACGTCCCATCCTTAAGACCCTGATGGGACAGGAAGGAGCAGTCCTGTGTGTTTATGGCCGTCTCCTGGGAGACTGGCCGTTGTGTCCCGGGGTTCATGGTGCTTCCATGGTCACGCTGCTGTCAGCTCCCCACAGCTGCTGCTGATGCTGCAGGCCCAGGTGCTGGCTGGGGTGTGGGGGCCTTACCATTTGGCCTTGTGTCTGCGGATCCCTTCTAAGAACTCCTCTAGCTTGAAACCTTTAGGGGAAAAGAGTGATGATTACATGTGGGGTTTGCTCGTGTGCACATGAAGGCGCTTGTGGAAGGAGAATCATCACAGAGCCCAAGTTTAAACTCCCTGCCACGATGCTGGTGTCTGTGTCTCGGTCACCTGGCACACTCGCACTCATTTCTCAGCTGTGCATGTTACTTTCTGGGCTGCGTCTCAGACTCAATAGCAGCTGTCCTTTATCACTGCCCCTTTCCATCACACAGTGGACTTCCTGATGGACTGATTTGGGAAGGGAATGAGAGTTAACTGGCCTGGCCTGCTTCATCTCTGGGACGGTACCAGGTTTCCAGCAAGGTTCAGAGAACCCCTCAGGACCCGGTTTCTTGCTTTTCCACATAGAATGGGGAGCTTGCGTTTCCTGTCGGTGACTCTGCCTTTAGAGACTATCCATATGGAGTGAGTTTGCTTTTTTTAAGAATCTTCTGTTTTATAAATACTGCTTTCCATTTTTCCCTGGTTCTCACAGGCCAGATCTATCTCAAAACCAGCACAGGTTTACAGTACACACACCAAGGGCGGCTCCTCCAGGTTCCTTCCCGACCTCCTCTGCTCCTTGTGAACTGCACACTTGTTGTGCTATGACGTTCATTCCCCGGATTGCACCAGAGGGTCACATGCCCTGTGTTGGCTGCCTTGACCTTAGTTAGCGGTCACTGTCCAGGCCTGGCCACCTCCCCCAAGTGTGTGAATTGAGGGCCAGAGAGAAGATGCTAGGCTTCTGTCCACCAGGCCTTTGGAGCCCAGCGTGGCGCAGCATTTAGAAGCCAGCTGCTGTTGGCCTGTGGTGTGCGAGTCGAGCAGACACAGGCCCCTGTTTGTCCCTTGGAGGCTGGCTCTGCCCTGTCCTTCACATTTTTGATTGCTTGGCCATCAGATCTGCTTTCTGGTAAATGTTTGAAAACATTCAATCATTCAGACAGATAAAATTTCTGTTCCCTGATCAGTAACTTATTCTGTTTTCGTCAAAGAAACTAAGATAGAGATATTGAAGGTTTTTAAAAATTCTCCAAAGCCTTAAAAATGATGGCTGTACATTTGTCAGAGTGTGACCCTGATTCTGCAGGGGAGGAAGACGGCTGCATGCTCGGTACTGCCTGACCTCCTGACCCGTTTGGGATGGGTTTTACCCTTGTCCCAAACTGTAAGCCCTACTGTGTGTTTCTTTGGAGCAGGGCCTGAGAGAGGTTAGAGTGGAAGGCGTGGAGGGCAGGGCTCGGTACAGGGAGAGCAACCTCCTAGGCATTGTGGTGGGGTCCACGCCTCCTTGATGTGCCAGCTGCACAGGTGTCTGAGGTCAGGGCTGTTCTCCATGCTATGCAGATACTGACACTGTTTGTGCTGGGCAAGGTTTCTGTCTTCTCCCATCCGCTCCCATTTGTCTCCCTGCATTCACTCAAGAACAGAATTTGCTGGAACACAGGGCTCTATCTGTTGTTTACATCTCTGTGATACTAAAAACCAGGAGCCCAAGTATGCTTTTGGGTGGGTGTTGGAGAAGGTTTAACAGTCTTGCTTCCCAATTCTGAGAGAACGTGTCGCTGGTGGGGCCTGTTTGAGGAGCTGCAGTGGCATCTGCACACCCTGTGTTCAAGGCCTTGTGCCCAAGGCTGTCGTAAAACTGCTGTCAAACATTTTTGATTCTTACCCAAGACACACTCATGAGAGTTGGTACTGCAGGTCCAAAGTAAAGGATGACACTTGTTTTGAATGTCCTCTGGAGGATTCTCGCTGAAGGTCTCTCTCTTGCAGGTGGCCCCGACAACCAGGTGCACTTTGAAGGGTACCAGGTGTCCAATCAGTGCATGGCGTTGGTCCGAGATGAGTGCCTGCTGCCCTGCAAGGACGCCCCTGAGCTTGGCTACGCCAAGGAGTCCAGCAGCGAGCAGTACGTGCCTGATGTGTTTTATAAGGTAAAAATGCAATGGTACCGAAAGAGAGAAGTGGATGGAGAGCAGCGTGGACGCTGACCTGTCCTGGACGTTACTAATTTTGGTGCATTCTGGCCATGGGAGCTGTTGGTCAGCCGTGGTCGTCTAGAGCCTAGCTTGTGGATAAGGGACTCTTTGGCATTTCCAGGGCCTTAGTTAGCTACTCAGGCAGGCTTCTGTGGTGTTAGGGCTTATAAGCAGAAGTGGGTGTGACATGCACTGGGTTTAGGGGTACATAATACAAGTGAAACCACTGCAACACAGACTGTTTCAGTTTCTGAAAAGGAGAAATGGTGCCTAACAGGGCCTCAGCAGGAGTGAAGGTTGGAGCTGCTTGGCAGAAGTTAGGCTCTCCTGAGGGGACCCAAGTTTAGGTTAACGGCTTAAACAAGCAGTTGTCCATTTCTAAACCTTTGTTTCCTGTGAAAGCTATAAAAACGAGTTTTTTGAAAACTGTGATCTGGTTTGAACAAGTCGGAGTTGGGTGCTTCCCTGGAAATTAGCAACACGGCTCCCATCCTCCTCATGGGAGTTGCTCTGGTCACAGGTAGGCACCCTGCCTGTTCCCCATCCTGGGCAGACTTTGGTTTCCATCTGGCACTGCTCTGTCTGGAGGACCCCTTTAATATTTCTTGTATTCCCGGCTGCTTTTGTGTGTCTGAGAAGTACGTTGTTCTCCATTTCTGAAGGATATTTTCACTGTGTAAGGAGTTCTAGGTTGACAGGTCTGCTCACAATCTCACTGCACTTAGGCCACAGAGATCTGCTGGCAGAAGGGGCCTGGAAATAAAATAGGCAAGCAATGAAAACCCAGAAAGAGTGGTGATCTAATTTCTTTAAAATGATTTGATATCTTTCAGCAATTTTTTTATATCAGTGTGTGCATGTCTAGTCATTGTTTTGTTGTTTTTATTGTTCTAGCAAGTCTGCATATTTATTTATTTAAATTTAGTTTAATTTTAAAAAATTCTTTCTTAAAAATATTATTTATTTAGCTGCGCCAGGTCTTAGTTGCTGCATGTGGGATCTTCGTTGCCGCATGTGGGATTTTCGTTGCCGCATGTGGGATCTTTTAGTTGCAGCATGTGAGATCTAGTTCCCTGACCAGGGATCAAACCCAGGCCCCCTTCATTGGGAGCACGTAGTCTTAGCCACTGGACCAGGGAAGTCCCTAAGTCTGCATTTTTAAACAGCTTTATTGAGATGCAATTCACATACCACACAGTTCACTCATTTAATGTGCCCGGCTCAGGGGCTCTTAGGATGTTTGCAGGGTTGTGTAGCCATCACCACAATCTAATTTTAGAACATTCTTGTCCCCCCAAAAGAAGGCCTACATCCTTTAACAGTTACGCCCCAATCCTCCCGACTCCTGGCAACCGCTGATCTGCTTTCTCTGAGGTTTCCCTGATGGAATCCTACAGTGTGTGGTCTTCTGTGACTGACTCTTCACCACTTACCGCAATGTCTCAAGGTCCCTCCGTGCCTGCAGCCTGCAGCACTTCATTCTTCTCATTGCCGAATAGCATTCAGCGGTATGGGCGCCGCTTCCTATCCGCGGGATGCACCACACACCCAGGAGAGCGCCTAGAAGCTGAGGGGCTCCGGGGCCTCGTCCTGGTGGTGATTTGGAGACCAGACTACCTGATTGTGACAAAGACTTCACCTCTTCAGGGACCAGAAGTGGGGCCAAGACCCCGTCTAGAGCTGGCTTGTCCATGCTGTGGGTGTCTGTGGTAGCGGGTGATGTGCAAAGGAAGGGCACAAGGGCCTGAGAGTCTTGTCCCTGCTCCTGGTCTCCTCCTCAGCTCTTTGGAATGAAGGTCCTCAATCTGCTTCTGAATCAGCACTGCTACGTGGTCCGAGGGCTGTGGGGGCGGGGACTGTCACTGAGCCAGGAAGGCCAGGCCAGTAGGTAGCGAGCAGTCTGTCTTTACTCTGCAGCAGGCAGGCCTCGCTGTTGTATCTGCTCCTTTCAGGTGGTGGCAGTGGAGGGACAAAGTGAGGCTGGCCTGTGACAACTTGCTTAGATGACCCCTCAGATTTGGGGACAGTAAGGAGCCCTAGGAAAGGGTCCTCCATATCATTCTTTTTTTTTTTTGCGGTACGCGGGCCTCTCACTGCTATGGCCTCTCCCGTTGCGGAGCACAGGCTCTGGATGCGCAGGCTCAGCAGCCATGGCTCACGGGCCCAGCCGCTCCGCGGCATGCGGGATCCTCCCGGACCGGGGCAAGAACCCGCGTCCCCTGCATCGGCAGGCAGACTGTCAACCACTGCGCCACCAGGGAAGCCCTCCATATCATTCTTGAAAGAAAATATTTCCAAAGAGCCTTGTTTAGGAACTCCCATTGTCTCTTCCCTCCTGTGATGTTTAATAGCAATTACCTGGCTCGATAACACAGATCTCACCCTTACACAAATCCTGTGTAGGCATCAGGTACTTTGAAGAATCATTAGTTTTAAACCATTATTAAACCTTCACACATCAAGTCACACCACGCTGGGAACCAATGTGAGGGTTCAGTGTTTCCCTCAAAAGTTTCTGTCTTATAAGATGCATTTGTATGGCACTGTTTTGTAATGCAGAATCTACGTTTTGACTCATTTTTAGACCCTCAGACCTGGTGGTCCTGCTGGCTGCCGTCATGAGCCTTTTGGCACAGCTCACTGGTCTGGGGGCCGTAATGGGGCCTGTTGTCCTTGTGGAGAGCCCCTCCCCTTTAGCCACAGAAGCTTGTGCAGCCCTGGTGCGCTCAGTGTGCATGAATACATTGCTCCAGGGTCATCAGGCTGCCATTTCTTTCTCTTTTCAGAGTTTTAAAAATTAAATATAGGGACTTCCCTGGTGGCACAGTGGTTAGGAATCCGCCTGCCAGTGCAGGGGACCAGGGTTTGAGCCCTGGTCCAGGAAGATCCCACATGCCACAGAGCAACTAAGCCCATGCGCCACAACTACTGAGCCTGCGCTCTAGAGCCTACGAGCCACAACTGCTGAGCCCGCGTGCCACAACTACTGAAGCCTGTGTGCCTAGAGTCCATGCTCCACAATAAGAGAAGCCACTGCAGTGAGAAGCCTGCGCACCACAACAAAGAGTAGCCGCTACTCGCCACAACTAGAGAAAGCCCGCACACAGCAACGAAGACCCAACACAGCCAAAAATAAATTAATTAAAAAAAATTAAATATTGAGTAGATATGAAAGATTATTTATAAAACATGTGTAAGGAATAAAAAAAGCAGAAATACTAATCCCGAGTCTCTACCCCAGAGTTAAGGACCAGAACGTTCCGTGGCCTCTGAAGCTGCTGGATCCTTCTCTCTGCTTCTGTCTCCTTTTCTCCCCACTCCAGAGGGAGCACTACCTTCGGGGGTGCACTATGACTTTCTTGTTTTTCTTCTAGTTTTACTTCCTTTGTGTGTTTTCCTAAAGCAGATGTTGTGAGTTTTATATGTTGCTGCACACTGTAGACCCAAAACTGTGTTCTTCTGTCCTTGGAGATGGGCCAGATTCACTTATCCCGGTGTGGCCTGAGACCTGCCTGCATGTGGCCATCATGTCACCTCGGCATGTGCCCACTGCGAGCAGAATGCTATGCGAACCACCACGCTCCGCAGCCTTGGGCCCAAGTCCCGCTCCCCACTCAAGACACCCGTGGGGCATTTCCTTGAGCTGTAACTGTGCCATCCTGATCATGAGTGAGGCCAGGCTCCTTTTTTTGTTTGTTGGCTCATCCTGTCTCCCATAACGTGCTTGTTGTGTCTGTTTCCTCTTCTTCCCTGGGTGGTTCAATCTTTTTCTCCCCGCCTCTAACCCTGTCAGTCAGGGGTGTGACACCTCTGCCTCTCCACTCCCATGGTGTCATTGAGGCAGAAAGTTTACGTTTCCATGTGGTCAGTTTTCTGAATCTTGTCTTTATGGTTGTCATTTTGAATCACAAAGAAAGTCTGTTATCTTGTCTTCTCTAAGGTTGATGTTTTTGGATTCTTCCTCTACCTGGGATTATTTCAAATGTGTGGTGTGAGATAGGGGGTGTCCTTCTTAGTTCTTTTTAGTCATATACTGTCTGAACACCATTTATTGGGAAAAACCCTTTTCTTTCTATGTTGATCTGTGGTGCCTTTCCATTATCAGTCGTCTCTATGATCGTGGCTGTGTCTCTGTCCTCCCTTCTGTCCACTGGCCGGTGTTCCTCAGCCAGCACCACCGTCACACTGTCCGAGTCACTGTAACTTTACTCTTCGTCCCTGACCCATCACAGCCCTTCCCTGCTTTTCTTCCTGAGCTCTGACTGTTCCTGACCCTCCACTCCTTCATGGAGACTTGCCTGCAGACTGATAAAAACAAATAGGTCACGCCCACCCCACTCCACCCCACCCCACTCCACTCACCCGCAATGTGTGTGATGCTGCCCTTTGTTTCTTGTTCTTTGACCTCTCTCAGAAAGTTAGGATTTTTCTCCTTGAATGTCTTGTCCATTGTTTGTTAGATTGTTCCTAGGTACTTTATAGTTTCTACATATTATAAAAACTACCATTTGGCAGTTCAGCTGTTATTTGTTCCTCTAATTTGTATGTGTGTTCTGGGTTCTCTACACAGATGAGTGTATTATCCAGGAGTGACAGTTCTTTTTCTCCCTTCCCTTCATTTTCACTCCTCATGCTGGCTAGGGCTTCTGGAACAATGTCCAGTGATCAGCACTTTTGTCTGGTTTTTAATTGTAAAGGATGTGCTTTTGGAATTTCATCATTAACTATGAGTTTGCTGTGGGTTTTTTTGTTTTTGTTTTTTTGGTAGTACCCTTTATCAGGTTGGAAATTTGCTTTTTATTTCCATGCCTTGTAAGTTTCTTGCCCTTAAGAAGAGAGCTCCCTTTTGTCGTGGAACACACATTATTTCCTTAATCATGCTGCTGTTTTCTTAGATTGCTCACTTGCCTGTTAGTGAGAGCAGGCTAGAAGGGCTTCCCAGGATTGTTTATAGC